TTCATTTTCAGCTTTTCTCTGTCTTCCTTGGAGAGGTCTTGTCTTATTGACCAAGATTTGCCAACCTCATCACTCTGCAGTTTCCTGGCATTTCTTAGCACTTCCATCATGTTTTTCACTCCATTAAAGGTCACCCTTAAGGGGCGGTTCTTTTCTTTCTCATATTTTCCTATTCTTCTAAAATCACTGACATTTTCCTTTGAGCCTTCTCCTAAACCTACTATTTTCTCTATGATTTTCATCTCTTCTGCCGCTCGGTCCACCCTAGATGAAATTTCCTTCTCTAAACATCCAAAAATGATTATGGACTTAGTTCTATCTGCAGTGTTTTGTACCAGTTTACTGTTGGTAACCAGTTCTTTCCTAATTGCTTGCCTAATTTCTGCTTCTTGTTGGTCATTTCTGGTTTTGACTTCCGAACACACTTCTTTGATAGTCTCTTTCTCTTTTACAACTTGAGCATATGTCGCTTTTATTTCTTCTTTATACTTTTCTAGTTCTTTATTCACCTCCTCTATGTGAGTTGTCAGTGAAGTTTCCAGTTGGAGATCCTTACCTAACTCTATGTTAGCCCTTAGGCTTGCTTGGAGTTGTTCACCATATGAGTCTATCTTCTTGTTTATTTCTTCAAAGTCACCACACTTCACTTTCCATGCCTCATTTTCTTTCACTAGTTCCTTGATTTGCTCCTCCTGATTTGTTACCTTGTCTGTTAATGCAGTAATAATCTTACCTTGTTGAAGCATACTCCCTTTTAGAGTGCAAAGCTCACTCCAAAGAGCTCCATTGTCCTCTTCTAATTTAAGCACTTTTTCTTCATACTTCTTTTGCATGTCCTCAATTATCTCTAACCTGCCAAGAACACCTCCTTTCCTTATATCTTGTGTTGAGAATCCTTTGAAACCATCATCTGATGGTGTGTCTACCTTCTCAGTGGGGGTGGTGGCGGCGGCCATCTTTGATTTTGTTCTAGACCAAAACAAACTTTTCCACTCGGCTATTTTCACTCAGTTTTACTTGTTTATTGTATTTTATTTGCTTTTACTCTTCCCTGAACCTTTATGTAACCTGGGACACCACTGTAGCCCTCAACCTGTTCCCAATACTTAGGTAATTCGATATTTCCAGGAGCTTGCTGCAGTGTGACTTCTGCCTCCTCCAGCTTCACCTGTGTGTGTGTGTGTGTGTGTGTGTGTGTGTGTGTGTGTGTGTGTGTGTGTGTGTGTGTGTGTGTGTGTGTGTGTGTGCTCTTTTTCTTCTGTCTTCTAGTTTTGGCATATTTAATGCTTCTAACCTCTCCTCGTAGCTCTTGCCCTTCAGTTCTGGGAGCCACTTAGTAGCATGTCTTTGCACCTTTTCCAGTTTGTTGATGTGCTTCTTAAGATATGGGCACCACACAACAGCTGCATATTCTAGCTTTGGCCTAACAAAAGTCATGAACAATTTCTTTAGTATATCGCCATCCATGTATTTAAATGCAATTCTGAAGTTAGAAAGCATAGCATAGGCTCCTTGCACAATATTCTTTATGTGGTCCTCAGGTGATAGTTTTCTATCTAGAACCACTCCTAGATCTCTTTCTTTATCAGAATTCTTTAAAGATTTCTCACATAATATATAGGTTGTGTGGGGTCTATGTTCTCCTATTCCACATTCCATAACATGACATTTATTAACATTAAATTCCATTTGCCAAGTGGTGCTCCATATACTTATTTTGTCCAGGTCTTCTTGAAGGGCATGACAGTCATCTAAATTTCTTATCCTTCCTATTATCTTAGCATCATCAGCAAACATGTTCATATAATTCTGTATACCAACTGGTAGATCATTTATGTACACAATAAACATCACTGGTGCAAGAACTGAACCCTGTGGTACTCCACTTGTGACATTTCTCCATTCTGATACATTGCCTCTGATTACTGCCCTCATTTTTCTATCAGTCAGAAAATTTTTCATCCATGATAGAAGCTTACCTGTCACCCCTCCAATATTTTCCAGTTTCCAGAACAACCTCTTATGTGGAACTCTGTCGAAAGCCTTTTTTAGGTCCAGATAGATGCAGTCAACCCAACCATCTCTTTCCTGTAATATCTCTGTGGCTCGATCATAGAAACTGAGTAAATTCGATACACAGGATCTTCCAGATCGAAAACCATACTGTCTGTCTGATATTATATCATTTCTCTCTAGGTGTTCTACCCATTTAGTTTTGATTAGTTTTTCCAATACTTTCACTATTACACTTGTCAATGATACAGGTCTATAATTGAGGGGGTCTTCCCTGCTGCCACTTTTGTAGATTGGAACTATGTTAGCCTGTTTCCACCCGTCTGCTACGATTCCTGTACACAGGGATGCCTGAAAGATCAGGTGAAGTGGAATGCTGAGCTCAGATGCACATTCTCTCAGAACCCATGGTGAAACGCCATCTGGGCCAGCTGCTTTGTTCTTACCGAGCTCCTTGAGCATTTTTTCCACTTCGTCTCTAGACACCTCTATGTGTTCTATGTTGTTCTCTGGAATTCTTATTGTATCTGGTTCCCTAAAGATTTCATTTTGTACAAACACACTTTGGAACTTTTCGTTTAGTGTTTCACACATTTCCTTTTCATCTTCCGTGAATCTATTTCCCATTTTCAACCTCTGAATATTATCCTTTACCTGCAATTTGTTGTTTATGAATTTATAGAATAGACCTGGTTCTGTTTTACATTTGTCCGCAATCCCTTTTTCAAAATTTCTTTCTGCCTCTCTCCTCACTGCCGTGTAGTTGTTTCTCGCATCTTTGTATCGCTGGTATGTTTGGGGGTTCGGCCTCTTCCTGTATTGATTCCATTTTTGTGTCTTTCGGTCTCTAGCCCTCTCGCAATTTCTATTGAACCAATCCTGTTTCCTAGTTCTGCATCTCTGTTTTGGTATAAATTTTTTTGTGCCTTTATCATATATTTCACAAAACTTGCCATACATCTCATTCACTTCCTTGCCTAGCATCAAGTCTGTCCAATTATACTCACTAAAAAAATTTCTAAGGTCACCATAATGTCCTCTCCTGAAGTCTGGTTTTTCAACTGCTTCAACCTCCTTATTTTCTTCCAGCTTATAACGCATTGCATACTTTATTCCCAAAAAGACATGGTCACTTTTACCCAAGGGAGGAAGGTACTGAATGTCAAATATCTCTTCCTCCTTCCTGGTAAATATCAAATCTAGCATGGAGGGAACGTCCCCTTCCCTCATCCTCGTAGCTTGTTTAACATGTTGATACAAGAATGTTTCCAGGATGAGGTCTACAAATTTACAGGTCCAAAAATCTTCTGTTTTAGCTTCATATGCTTCCCAGTCTATGGATTTCAAGTTGAAGTCACCGACTATCAACAGTCGTGATCTATCGTTATCCGCTCTCGCTATAATCTCTCTCATTATTGTTATAAGACCTTCACGTTTACTATCTAGCTCCTCCTTTGACCATGTGCTGCTTGGCGGTGGACTATATGCATTTATCATCATTAGTTTATCATCCTCATAGCAGATCTCTAGTGCTATTATGTCAACTTCTTGTGGATTGGCAGTCATTATTTCCTTCACCTTTAGGTGTTCTTTTACCAGCACAGCAACGCCACCGCCTTTCCTAATTTTTCTGTCCCGTCTCCAAATTGAGTAGCCCCTTGGGAATATGACCTCATTTAAAATTACATCTTCAAGTTTTGTCTCCGTGAGTGCAACAATGTCTGGTGTCTGCAGCTGTATTACATCACTTAACTCCAGTATCTTCGATCTCACTCCATCTATGTTGGTGTATGCAATCTTCAGGAACTTGTTCCCCCTCTCCTTATTCTTCACTCCCCCTCTCTCTATTGATTTTGTTGGTTTGCCTTTATGTACCACTTTACTGGTTTGCCTACCCCTATCACTTTGTAGAAAAAAGAATTTATTTCTTCTTCATTCCTGCTCTCATTTAAATGTTTTGCCTCGGCGAGGTTCAGTTTCAGCTTCTCTCTATCTTCTTTTGAAAGATCTCGTCTTAACGACCACCCTTTCCCATCCTCATCCCTTTGCAATTTTCTAGCATTCCTTAGTACTTCTTCCATCTGTTTGTTTGTAAGACCTTCCACGAGGCCAACAATTTTATCTACTACTTTAGCTTCTTCTACAGCTCTTTCTGACCTAGATGTTAGCCCTCGCCTTTTCTTTGCAGCCAGGAAATGATCAGTGGACTTACTCCGAGTAACCTCTGTGTGTGTGTGTGTGTGTGTGTGTGTGTGTGTGTGTGTGGTGTGTGTGTGTGTGTGTGTGTGTGTGTGTGTGTTGTGTGTGTGGGTGTGTGTGTGTTGTGTGTGTGTGTGTGTGTGTGTGTGTGTGTGTGTGTGTGTGTGTGTGTGTGTGTGTGTGTGTGTGTGTGTGTGTGTGTGTGTGTGTGTGTGTGTGTGTGTGTGTGTGTGGTGTGTGTGGGTGTGTGTGTGTGTGTGGTGTGTGTGGTGTGTGTGGTGTGTGTGTGTGTGTGTGTGTGTGTGTGTGTGTGTGTGTGTGTGTGTGTGTGTGTGTGTGTGTGTGTGTGTGTGTGTGTGTGTGTGTGTGTGTGTGTGTGTGTGTGTGTGTGTGTGTGTGTGTGTGTGTGTGTGTGTGTGTGTGTGTGTTGTGTGTGTGTGTGTGTGTGTGTGTGTGTGTGTGTGTGTGTGTGTGTGTGTGTGTGTGTGTGTGTGTGTGTGTGTGTGTGTGTGTGGTGTGTGTGTGGTGTGTGTGTGTATATATGTGTGTAATGTGTATATATATATATATATATATATATATATATATATATATATATATATATATATATATATATATATATATATATATATATATATATATATATATATAATATACTGTACTGTATTTCCTGATTTTAAGGGACTACATTGCATATAATTTTCCCTATTTTGCAAGGTATTACATGCTTACCAGTAGGTAAACATAATACAGTGACTTGATTTGATTTGATTTATTTTGATTTCTAGAGAAGGATATCGATGTGCACCAATAACAGACCAGGATGGCTACTTGGCTCCCACTGCTTCAAACTTCACCCTAGCATCCCCTCCCCAGAGGAAGAGTGTAGCATCCCCTCCTCAGTCTCCCAGATCTGTATCAGGATCTTCATTTGAAACCTGTATGTTAGATGGCCAACCAAGACAGGTTGTGGATAACCCAATGTACTGCGTAGGGATACAACGCTCTGTCAGTGACTGTCCTGAAGGGGAGTCGGGGACAAACAGTAGCTCAGGAGGATCTCAGATCCCGCCTCTGGACTCGAAACTACAAACTATGGTATCCGGTGCCAACTCGGATAATGAATCCGTCGGCTATTCCAGAAACGAGTTGCAGATTACAAACACTGACATGACAACTGTTCAGTCACTACAGTTGCCCTTTTCACCGTCACCTTTGTCTCCTACAGGTTAGCATAATGTAATAATGTTACATTTTTTTATGAAGCTCATTTTTACTGGTAGCAATTTACATGTCTTGCATTGATAAAAAAATTAATTCATTAAATATCTTCAACACTTAAATGTGGAAATATTTTCCCACAGAAATTATTAAAAAAAAATTTAGTTCCAGAGAACATGTTATTGGAGATGCAAATACAAACCATTCCATAGGTAAAGAAACTCAGCCAATAGTAAACCAACATTTACGAGAGTAAACAAAGAAGTGTGATAATTACGTTAATTTCAGATTTAATATATTGTATTCTACATTTTGTTATGTGGATCATATTAAATGCATACATTTTTCGTTTGCCTTTAGATTCTTCACTCCTTGGTGTGGATTCACAAGGTAACCCGTACTCATACGACATTGGTCACATCCCAGGTGTTAATTCTCCCTTTACCACAAGCATCCTTGTGTGCTGGGCCTGGCAGGTAGCACAAGGCATGGACTACTTAACTCGTAGAAAGGTAGTGGCTTTAATGATGTTGATTCGTTTATCCATTTACTTCATTTCTACCTTTCCCTCATGTTTTATTATGATGCTGATAGTAGTAGGTGACATATGTTGTTAAGTGAAGGAATTATTGCATCATTAAAGATAAAAATTGCTGATAGTACCTGATCCAAGTGGTCTCTGTTTATCATAATATGTGCTTGGGAGTACCCAGTGTGCGGTTGATTCCTCATGGTTCCTACTGATTTTCTCATTATAATATTAAAGAATTCAAGGGACTAAAAAGTTCTGTGTAAGTTATAGAAGGGTTATCAATATAAAATAAACTGTTCATATACTAGTGTTTCCTGTCTTATATATGTGTCCACTTTCCTTTAATAACAAAGAATCTTTTAAGGCACACAAGTGGTTTAGTATAATTTTGCATGTGTGTTGACAGTATAGCACTTGTACCAACCCCTTTCTCCTTGGTTAGAAAACATTCAGACAATTATTGGCTTATGATTTATCACCCAGTGTGAATGTGTGTACCTTGGGCTTTGTATAAATACCGTACACTAAAATGATTAAAATTAATGGGGAATTTGTTTAAGGTGAATGTTATACAGATAGCACAAAGTTGTATCCTTTGTCGCTTGTGTGCCATCTCGTTATCTCTTCTGAAATCTTTGTGTGGTGAAAAGCAGTAATTTCCAGTAATTGTTGTTTTCCAGGTTCTTCATGGAGATTTAGCTGCAAGAAACCTTCTTCTTGCTGATGATAATGTTGTCAAAATCAGTGACTTTGGTCTGTCAAGAGAAATGTACAAAAAGGATGTCTATATGAAGAAAGGAGATGTATGTAATTTTTATGTATCACTTCTTCTTCTGTGACTATTTCATACTTTAGCCAGCATGTTGATATTGACAATTTTTCCAAATTTCAAAATGTTTTTTAATAATATCCCTCAGGAAACAAGAATACTTAACTTTCAACTTTAAATATTTTGCCATGTTTCATGCAAGTTAAATTCTTTTCCTTAATTATAAAAACTAACAAGGAAGAGCCGAGTTAATGGATAGTTTAATGTCCAATAAGGGTAGTAGATACTTGCCCACCATTATGGGGTGCACTCTGCCTTGTATTCCCTGCATTATAATGGTGAGCATTTTGGGTGGTAACCCATCCTCCTAAAATGTCTTCCTAATTATGGTAGAAATATCATAAGATCTGGGGCCCACATCTACCTAGGCTTCAGAAAGCAAAGGCAGGTATATATGGGTGTGTGGAGTGTGATTTAGATCGGGAGTCATAGAAAATGAGAGAAGAATGGTGTATGCCTTTTAATGAATAAAAAGTGGTATGGGGCAAGGAAAAACTTGCAGGCACTATCTTACTGTTCCTCCGCTATCTGTTCAAAGAGCCTAACTTCGTTTTCAGACTGTCTCGACTTGCCGTGCCGTGTGCTCACTGTAAGACACCTAGTTGGCAAACTGTGACTTGCACCCATTCACCTGCCCAAACTTTATTTTGGTAGCACCCATGCCTATTAAAAAATCTCATACATCACCATTTTAGTTCATTAAAAAATACAGTAAATTTTGCCACCTTGCCATATAAATGCAAGTAGCTTTTTGACTAGATATAAGCGTGTGTGTGTAAGAATAAGACCTTGAGGTTACCTTGAGGTGCTTCCGGGGCTTAGCGTCCCCGCGGCCCGGTCGTCGACCAGGCCTCCTGGTTGCCGGACTGATCAACCAGGCTGTTGGACGCGGCTGCTCGCAGCCTGATGTACGAGTCACAGCCTGGTTGATCAGGTATCCTTTGGAGGTGCTTATCCAGTTCTCTCTTGAACACTGTGAGGGGTCGGCCAGTTATGCCCCTTATGTGTAGTGGAAGCGTGTTGAACAGTCTCAGACCTCTGATGTTGATAGAGTTCTCTCTCAGAGTACTAGTTGCACCTCTGTTTTTCAACGGGGGTATTCTGCACATCCTGCCATGTCTTCTGGTCTCATGTGATGTTATTTCTGTGTGCAGGTTTGGGACCAGCCCCTATAATATTTTACACGTGTAAATTATTATGTATCTCTCCCACCTGCGCTCAAGGGAGTACAGTTTTAGGCTCTTTAGTCGGTCCCAATAGTTTAGATGTTTTACTGAGTGGATTCTAGCAGTAAAGGATCTCTGCACGCTCTCCAGTTCAGTAATTTCTCCAGCTTTGAAAGGTGCTGTCAAAGCTGGAGAAATTACTGAACTAGAGAGCGTGCAAAAAAGAGGTCAGAAAAGATATTTAATTACATTCAACACTTAATTTTTACATATTCGAGAGGTGAAAAGTCTTTCAAATGCAGTGAGTTTTTCAAACAATCTCGGTTCCGAGTTGTCTCAATACTACGTAGTCAAGATATCTGCACTGTTGACCTCTACAATATTTTAGTGTGTTTTGTAGGCCTATTTGTTAACATCAACTTAATTTTCTTTCAGGATTTAATGCCCATTAAATGGATGTCAATAGAAGCTATTCGTGATCGCATCTTCAGCGTTCAGAGTGACGTGTGGGCTTATGGGGTCACCATGTGGGAACTCTTCTCTTTGGGTTCTACACCTTACCCTGGAATAGAGGTCAACCAGGACTTCCTCCAGCTGCTTGAGAGGGGCTACCGGATGGACAGACCAAAATATGCAAACCAGGAAATGTTCGTATTCAGTTAATGAGGTTTTTTATTGTGTAATTTACGCGTAGAGTACCTATGGGGTTTGTGAAGGAGTTACTGTAGACAGACAGATGTGCATGCTGATGAGAACTGGCCATAGAAAGAGAATATATTATGGCAGAATGTTAGGAGAAAGTTGGTCAATAAAGAGAAAATTAAAGAGTTTATTAGCCCAAGGAAGCGAGTGTGGGGTTAAGAATTGCTGAAGAATATAAAACACCTACTTTGTATAGTTGAGAATATGAATGGTAGGATATTGCCGAGTCATGTATAAAGAAAATAAAATACTGTACATTCTTTGTGATAACCAGGTGTAATAAATTATAGACTAAATGAGAAATTAAAAATATCATCTGAATTAAATCTTACGCTAGACCTAAAATTTACCCTGATCGAGAAGCACACCACCGATAAAACAACTCTTGTTGATACATGCACCACCAATGAAGTGACCCAGATTGACATCTGTAGTTAAAGGGTTAAGAAAGTACCAGACTACAAATGCAGTGATTGTTCCAATACTGTACTAACTTGTAATAGAAGGGGATGTACAAATTATGGAGAAATAAATAATCTATATATAGTTTAGGTGGTGTGTAGAAAGGCATTAGCTGACCAGATAAAATGAATGAACAAATATTTTGTAAATGAAGAACTGGGAGGGTTTAATGAATGTAGAGATTACGTAAATTGTTTTTTCATCTAGAACAGTGCACCTTTGATGAAAAGCTCCTTTTTTAAGGAAGCCACTCAATTTTGTCCCTTAGGCAATGTATTGCTTTTCCATAGATAGGATGAGATACAGTTAGGAAGATGGACACTATACCACAGTGCAGCAGAGATCGTTGCATATGTTCCCAGTGGACAAAAGGAAAAGGAAGATACTGGAGATTATTCTATCCGGCTTTGAACGACCAAGCTGCTAATTCATCTACAGAAATACAAAACAAAAATTCCATGAAGTAATCAGTGTCAAGAAAGCCATTAAGGAATACCTTGCTGTCAGTTGGTACACCCATCCACTACCCCAAAACCCTGACCAGATGTCAGCACAAGAGAGATTGGGACACAAGGGAGGATGCACGAATAATCGAGATGCATATTCTCCATCTATACTCTTAGGTGTATTTTTTTAGTTAGGTTATTTGGAAAAGTGATTAGAATGGTTAAATTGTAATGCAACCTATGCATGGTGGCGAGTGATGCCAGGAGGGGACGGAGGGAAGGAGGCAAGTCACACCCCCATGCATCCACACAAGGGGGCTGTGTGGATGCATGGGGGTGTGGCTGGCTGAGTGAACAGCGCTCTAGACTCGTGGGACTAGGGACCGGGGTTTGATTACGGCAGCCGGTGGAAAAACAAATGGGCAGTTTCCTTCACCTGATGCTCCTGTTACCTAGCAGTAAATAGGTACCTGGCAGTTAGACAGCTGCTACAGGCTGCTTCCTGGGGGGTTGGGAGGGGGGGGGGAAATAGTTAGTAACAGTTGATTGACAGTTGAGAGGCGGGCCAAAAGAGCAGAGCTCAATTCCCGCAACCACAACTAGGTGAATACAACCAATCACTCAGCACCTCAACAACACAGCTATTATGCACTCAAAAAATTGCACTTGCTGAAAATTATTTTGACAACAGAATTTTATTGTTGATTTTTGTTGTAGTTGCCTTTGCAGTAATAACATCCATTACCTTTGCAGCTATGATGTATTGCTTAAATGTTGGGAGATGGAACCCATGGACCGACCCAACTTCGCACAGACAGCCGAGTCACTTGGTATTCTTATGCTGCCAGATCTCAAAGGAGTATGTTAAAACCTTCAAAAGTTATGCACATAATAAAATTATCTGGCATTGTATTACAATATCTTATTTCAGTTGTCCAGTGAGTATTACAATCCTCCATAAAGCCAGAAAGGTAACTTCTTATACAGTATATCAGAACTGTCTTTTTCAAGTTATGTTACAGTATATTCAACTCCATTTCCAAGCTCTTCGCCTTGATTATGTCGAACAATGCCACAATGCCTCAGGGGTGCCAGATTTGAGTTGCCGAAAGTCACGAGCTGAAGAACTAAATGTCACAAACTTTACAATAAAAGTAGCCAAATATTTTTTTCCCGATTGATTCGCTTTTCAGAATAAACGGCCCAGCTTATTTAAACTGTAACCGAAAAAGTAGTAAGTAGCGACATATATAGCTGGCTTTTTAATTAAATACAATTATCTTAATTGGTAACCCAATTGTGTTACAAGTAGCCCAATCTGGCATCCCTGCAATGCCTTAGGCATTGTTCTGCTCTTCACAAGGAAGATAGGTCAACATTTATGCCGCAGTGCAGCAGGGATCATTCCAAACATTCTCACAGGCCATACTGAAGTGAGGGATTTGATGGACAAGACTTGGTCCTGTCTGGAATGACCTACAAAGGTTTCATTCATTTACACTCTTCCAAGCACACTACCAAGCACTACGGCATACATAGAGGCAATAAAGCACCTAAATTATTGGGATTGTCTCAAAGCTCCAGAAATCAACCTTGTAAAGTAACTAAGAACTACAAATATAACCCATTGTAGAGATAAGACACTTAGCATTTCCCATTTATTACCTTAACCTTTGTTTGGCCCCTAGGGGTGAAGTGTGCGTGCCCCAGGTACATTTGGTTAGTTGATTGTCAGAATTAGTATAGAGCAAACTTTAGCGACGTTTTAGTCTCTAAGCAGTAAGGACGGGTTTCGATAGTTTGTACTCTCGAGCACAGCTTAGAAACCTGTAGCCTTATGGGAGGCTTAATCTCTGACCAGGCCTCCAGGTTGCTGGAGGAATTTGTAGCCTAATCTTACTATTGTTATGACATGGTCTAATAGTTTAGACTTAATTATTTACCTCAGTGTACATGTATTTTAATGGAAACACTTCACTGTGATAGATGCAGATCTGCTGGATAGACAGACATGGATCTTCTAACTCCTATTTTCTCTCTCATGTTTGATAACCAAAGTTATATTTGATACTTTCTTTGTTCCATGCAAGTGAAACAAAGACACTATAATGTTCTTACATTTGGAACTTATATGAGAGAGATGAATATACACTTGACATGTCAAGTACAGTATGTCTAGCATCAGATGCAGGCATCTCAAATACTATGTTATTGATATATATACAAAAAAAAACTCAAATTCCCAAGAAAACCTGCCAGAAGAATAGGTGCAGTAAGCACTTAGACCAACTGGTGAGGCAGACCAGTTGGTGCTGTAGCGAGTGGAGGAACATAGGGAAAAAGCCTTCAGGCAGTAGTGTATTGGTAAAGATAGATGATCAAGATATAGTGACAGTAAATTAAATAATGTCTTTTTCAGCAATACATGACGCTGAACGACCCATACCTGTTGATGAATGAGGAGCGTTTTAGAAGACAAACTGATTATCTCAATATGTTGTCAACACCTGATTTTGACAACCTCACTAAGGATGATGATGACACCTTAGCATTGTCCATAAACTTACAGGTGACTAATTTTATATTAGTTTAACTCTTCATGAATACCATATTCCATATCAGGTTCATTTTTTTTATCAAATTATTTATTGCATCTCTGGTATACTGTACCCAGTAAGGATACTTTGCATGCTTAAATAAAAAAAAGATAAAATAAAATATATTGTATTTTGTGGGGGGGGGGGCCACCTTCAGTTTCTTCTTTTAGGCTAGTACCCCAGCCAGTGAAAGTTTGTCTACTCAGTGTGCATCTATGAAGCAAAATGTTCATGGGTCTGGATTTACTACCCAGAATAACGAAAAAAAATAATCTACATGGTTTGGTTGTATATTTATGAATCAGTTGGCTACTTTTAAATAATAAGCTTTACATGAAATATATTGCATACTAAAATTTCAACAGAATGCAAATAATGGAAGCAGAGAAAACAACTACCTGAATATGAAGTCACCCGACCTGGTTGGATACTCGCGTGTGGGCACTGATAAGTTCCCGTCATCTGGGGTGACCAATCCTCATTACTTGCCAATGAGTTCTTCTCGGGGGTCTCCAAGTCCAACAGTTGATGTGTTTAGCCCACGACCCAACGAGCCCAACAGGTTAGTAGTACTTCAGGTAATGAAGTGATTAAAATGCCTCGGCAAGTTTAAAGAAGTCTAGTATTTACATTCAGGTGGATCATTAGTAAATAATGACAGATAAGCCAAGAATAATAATTTTTTCTTTAAACTTTAATGTAGTTTACTGATAGAAGCAACAAATAATTTGGTGTAGTTGAGGTTACTCTATGGTAGAAGTGTTGAAGAAAGAAACTGATACACATTCATGAAGGGTTAGGTATAATGAATTAAATGACATCTCGGTTAGAATTTGATAGTAAACAATGGGTTGCTACTTCAACAGTACCCAGTCTAACATGAAACTGTATATAATGGAACAATTTTTATCTGTTATTCTTCTTGTAAGTCTTTCTAAATCAGACTTGCAAGATCAGATCAGTTTAAAGTCAGTAAATGTTATTTAAATTTGTTATTTTTGTTCAGTAATTTCTTTTTATAATTTTAGGATAGCACTTTATCAAAATACAGTAAGTGCATGTTTATATTGTTTACACCATTATAAACCATATTGATTATAAAAACATTTGCACAAAATAGCAAAGATCAGATGTAATCAGAAATTGAGATGCACTGGAAGTGTCCAGAACATATTGCTCTGTTCAGGCAAGAATTCTCTTTACTTGCACATTGGTATTCAAACAAATTCTTTGGGTAGGCAATCAATCAAATATTTATACTCTGGTATTTTATATACTTGTAATGGCTTGGTGTTTCCTCCTGATAATTACCTTTCCTTGTACTCTGGTAGTACTGTATGTACTTGTGGGCGCATGTATTTAACTGTGTTTACAGAGGGTATTCTTTTAGCTGCATGTATTAGCTATTGGGTACTTACAAATATTCTAGTCTTATCATACATGCTTCTTGTTCATCCTAGATGCTTACTAACTTTAACCAAGTTTCCTCATAGCTTAACTCTGGCACCAATATTGACCCAAATCTATAGCATTTCTAAATATTCTAAATGTATAACGTGTGTGTTCCATGCTTACACTTTGTGCTCTGTGGCTTGCTCGACAGATGCGGTACAGAGAATTATACCCTATACACCACCCTGATCATATTGGTATATGGTGAATAGGGAATAACTCTTTTTTGGTTCCTTTTATGGCATTGAATCATAATTTATATGAATTCTCTTTACCTCAGCAATAATGAAAACATTTGTCTTTTCTTCTGTTGCATTTTGTCTTTATATATGGCCTTTATATTTCTCTGTAGTGTCCCGTGATTTCGACTTCAGCTTCTTCGAATCCAAGCACTGCACTTACCAGGTAGACAGTTTACCATATGAAATATACAATAGGTACATTATACCAGAAACGTACTATATATATATATATATATCTGACCCTCGGATACATAATTTGGTTTACATAAGTTGAAGCAAGCACCACTGTACACATTTATACACCTACACACGGCTTACAAATAATGTTGATGCCATCACCAATAAGCAAACAAATAAAAAAAAAAAAGGTAAATGACATCAGGGGCACGACAGCAATCCTAGAAACAACAATAGTCATATACACTATACTCGATAGTCGATACAAAGGGACCCCAGACACGGGTAAAGGAGAATCTATATAGGTACTTCCAAGTACTTTGAACCTTAATTGTTAGTGATATATATATCACTATCATTGAAAGTTCAAAGTACTTGGAAGTACCTATTTGCCCAGAGTTTAGTGGCTATGGAGATAATAACAGGACAGCTAAGGGTAACTGAGGCAGCCCAATATACCCCAGCACCAAATCATGAATATGATCTGATATGAGATATGATATATAGCAAATCATATACAGATATGATATCATGTATATGATATATGTATGATATATATATATATATATAATGATATATATGATACAATATCATACATATATCATATATATGATATACATATATGTCTATCATATAGGTATATCGTATATGATATATATCATAATACATGATTATACATATGTATATCATATATATGTAATAATCATATATATGTAATAATCATACATATGTAATAATCATACATATGTATAATCATATATATGATATGACAGTGTCAGTCCACGGAGGAAGAATTGAAACAGGAATTTCCTTAAGTACTTTCGTATATTAATACATTGCTATACCAGCTTATGTGAATTGTGAATTATATGATCCCATACTAAGAGTATAACATCTGCACCTTATACTATATTCTCACAAATTCAGACTTCCTTCAGGAATCTGAGCAAAGAATTATTCAAGAAATAAATCATTCATTGATACAAACCATGTATGTAATGCTTTACTGGTGTGGGGTCATTTATACAAGGAAACTTGTAAAGACTGTGAGGCATGTCACTAGACTGGTCTCTAAGATATAGACACACCAAGCTAAGAGGATAGGTGGCAAGAATTAAATCCTACAGCACTAGTGGAACAAAGGCAGGGGGATGTGGTTATAACATTGGAAGATATCTAGAGAAATCAATATGATGGATAGAGAACAGCTCTGTTATATGTATTGAATCAAAATAAGGGGAACAAGTTAAAAAGGAACATCTAAATGAATTGAGGTAATGTATAAAGAAAGACATAATTAGGATTATGGTAATATGCTAGTGAAATATACATACGAAATGAGACAAACTACAGTACATAAGCTCAAATATTTACAAAGAATAATACTCATATGGTCAAGACCGTGCCGCGTCTGAAAACCTTTCTGCTTAGCAGTTAAAATCCTTGAATGTCTATTCACCATCATCATCTGCTTCCTAATAGCTTCATTGTTTCACTTTATGGCAGAATATGGATGCCTAATTACATTGGGATTACTACTTATATCTGCAATATGTGCCCACCAACTACTTCGTCTCCTATCTTATGACTCCTAACTTCATCTCCAACTGAACATCTTCGGTCTCCAAACTTCAGTTTCATGTCAGATTGGTATCTACACTAAACTTTATTCTCTTCCTTTAAATGCCACATGTATTTTGCACCACTGCAAGAAGACAGCATTACATACTGCTATGCTACACGTTCTAACTTCAGAATTACTTAAATACACAAGCAGTAAAATACAGTATTAAGGAAACTGTTTATGACTTTCGTTAGACCAGAATTGGAATATTCAGCATTTGTATGGTGCACATATCTCAAGAAGCATTTAAATAAACTCGAAAAGGTGCAAAGTCATACTACTAAATGGCTTCTGGAACTGAAAAATAAGAACTAAGAGAGGCTAGAAGTGTTAAATATGCCAAAGCTAGAAGACAGAAGAGAAATCACTACGTAGGAAATTGACAGGATAGAAATGACAGTAATTGAGAGGATTTCAGCTTCAATGAAATTACTGTACAGTATATTAACATGATATATCAATGAGAAAATCAGTAGGAGCCATGAGGAGGATTTGAACCCTACACACACTTTGGACTCCTAAGCACACGTCCTAGACCACTGTCTAGGTGGTGTAACCACTCCTAGTCCTAGACCTAGAGATCAACAAACTGGAAAAGATGCAAAGACAAGCCACTAAGTGGCTCCCAGAACTGAAGGACAAGAGCTACGAGGAGAGATTAGAGGCAATAAATATACCAAAACTAGAAGATAGAAGAAAAAGAGGCAATATGATCACTACATACAAAATAGTAACAGGAATCAATAAAATTGATAGGGAAGAATTCTCGAGATCTGCAACTTCAAGAACAAGAGGTATTAGATTTTAACTAACTAAACAAAGCTGCCGAAGAAATAAGAAAATTCACTTTCGCTAACAGTGATACACGGTTGGAACAAGTTAGGCAAGAAGGTGCTAGAGGCCAAAACCTGTCAGTAATTTCAAAGCGTTACATGACAATGTGCTGGGAAGACGGAACACCACAAGCGTAGCGCTCATCCTATAACTACACTTAGGTAATTACTGTGGTGTAGTGGTCTAGGGCGTGTGCTTGGAAGTACCTAGTGTGCGGGTTTGAATCTTTCTCAGGACTCCTACTGATTTTCTTTTTGACAGGATTTCTTGAACCCTGCAACTTCAAGAACAAGAGGTCACAAATACAAGTTATAGAAACTAAGGTACTGAAAAAATTAGAGTTTCTCTTGCAAACAGAATGGTAGTACTGAACACTACTAGTACAACTCATCCTGCAGCTACACTTTGCTAAAACAGTGACAAATAGCACCAGTGTTGCTGGCATGACTGCATGATACATTGCACACTCTTATGGTTTCCTATTATCAGAGCAGGAAGCTTGTTAGGCTTATCCAGATTTCCTTAGCCAACTACTGGCGTTCCTAAGATGCAACCTATAAGAGTTGCCTAACTATTTACTGCTAGGGGACCAAAGGCATCAAGTATAAGGAAGGAATAGCATCCAAACAACTTGGTATATGACCCTGTGTCAATGGCATGAGTGCCAACAGTAATAGCTCTAGACATCCCTCCTGGCCTAACGGCACTTGAGAATCTCCAGGTTCTGTTTGAATTTGAACAAAACTGAAGGAAAATTTTGGTTCTGTAGCATACCTTCTTTATGTAACACCCTTCTACCTGCCAAACTGGTACTATTGAGTCCTCATGACTGATAACCCCTTAAGACACTCAGTATACTTAACAATACTCACTATACAAAACATAGCTCGGCCTACAAATAAACACACACACACACACAGTGCAGTGAATGGTTTCCAACGACTTCGTGCCGACAGCTTCCATCTCTAGTCTTTGGCTTCAATATTTAACCGACTGCAGAAGCTGGAATCTTTGTTGCATAGTGGAACAACTGAGGTCTTGCACCTGCAACATACACAGCATCAGTATGATATATCCTGTGTCATGACCCCGTGACTTCATCTGCCACTGAACTTCCATCATGAATCCTCTCGTCTTCCCCATTACAGCTGTATGTTAAACTTTAAGTTCTATCAATACCAAACTTCTTATAAATAAATTTATATAATACCAGTATGTTTCACCTCGTTTAAAAACCTAAATTTCCATTTTTAAGTATTACTACTTTTTACACCATCAAAAATGGGTGGGGAGGGTGATGTAGTTAAAGCATATCTATGCAATCTAATGTCTTCTTTCCAAAAGTTGTTCCTGATCCATATCAGTAACAGACTACTATTATCAAGACTGATTTACAATTAATTTTACAGATTTACATTTGCGCACGAGAGTTGTCGACTAACAAAACTTCCAGAGGAGGATGAATATACATCTCAGGATGCTGATAAAGTCACCAATGACAAAGACACAGAAATTTCTTCCTTGATAAATAAAGATACAAGAAATACTTCTGAAGACCACGTCTCAAACCATTATCGTCAAGATTCTGAAAATAAAGAAGACATTGTAGACATGAGTAAAGAAAATGAAGTAACATACATCAACCTTCCATATTATGAGTCAAATTAAACAATTACTTAGTTATTAAAGTGTGATATTTTTCTCGTGAACGTGGAAACTAAAATTTTGTGAAATGCAGTGTTTAAGCATTCCTCATAGTAAATCGTACCTAAGATTAAAATTAAGTTTAATTTTTAAGATTGACAATTCCGGCAAATTCAGAAAAAACATGAATGCAAATGTTATGATTTTTTGTGGTGTTTTCTGATTTGCAATTTAATAGCTGTATTAATAAAAGTGTATAAATAAATGTATTTTAGTACAGTATTTAAATTATTAATCTAACCATTTTTTCATTTCATAAAGCATGTACATATTGTATCCGACAGTTAATCACCAAAGACATTTTCTGTACCATGATATTTGTACACGAGGCACTGCAGCAGATGTCTTGGGGCCTGGCACAAATATACTAGATACAAATGATAGCAGCACTGAACCCTAACAACAAATTAATACCTGTTGGTATTCATCAAGAGTCAAGGTTCAATATTGTTTAATTTGGTATTTGTACTCACCTTTACTAGGCTAGTACAAATACCAAATTAAGGCGAGTACAAATACCAAATTGAGTCACTTGAAACTATGTTGAACCTTGGCTCTCGAAGAATACCAACAGGTGACAACAAACTTTAGATTGTATAGAGTAATCATTATGTAACCAAAGCCACTTGATATTGGCAACTCTGGCCCCAACATGTGATTAATGGCATCCTCAACTTTCCATTGCGAGGGGTTAGTGCAGTCAGCTCAATCTATTAGTCGCATGTTCGATTTGCTATAGGAAATGACCTTTCATCACATTTCCTTATATACAATGTCTATTCACCTAGGTAACTAGGAACCAGTTAACTGTTGTGGACTGCATTCCAGGAAGTGTTAGTTGTTTGATAAATCTAAAATGCTTCCCGTAATCGACAATGGAAAACTATTGTAAATAATGCCGTGAAATTTGAAGGTTTAATAGGATTTCTAGAAGTACCTGTACAGTAATACACAAATTTTATTAACTTTAAGCTGCATGTATTGACCCAATACTTTGCACAAGAGTTGATTTATATATACAGTACTGTATATATAAAGTATACACACACACACACACACACACACACACAGGTGGAATCGGGTTACGAACTTTACCTCGGGAAATGAGTTTGTTGATACGGGTATGGCCGACCTAGCATGTGGTGGCACAGCGATCGTGCCTCAGTTTCCCAGTGCCTCCCGCCTAGTGACTATTGCGCATGAATTCTTTGCAAAGATTGATAAGTTTTTTCAGATTTCTGGCTAGTTGAACATAAAATTTGTTATTATATATCTCGCCATGGGTCCCAAGAGAGCCAGTGGTAAAGTTCAAGGCAAGAAAACATGTGAGAACGATCATAGAGGAAAAACAAGAGATCATTCGTAAACATGAAAATGGTACACAGGTTGTTGAACTAACTAGGCAGTACAACAAATCTATGTCAATGACATGCACTGTAATTACCAAGAAAGAGGACATTACGAGTGCTAAAGTGGCAAAAGGCGTATCAACAATCACGAAACAAAGAACACAAACACTTGAGGATGTTGAAAAGTTTTTATTATTTCACCCAGAGCAAGCTGTAGTAGGCCATTGTGTTAATCTTTTTAATGACAATGTTATGTCTCACTTCAGACAAGTGTTACAAAGTAGAGAAAAACAAGTGTCACTAGACAGGTTTTCAGTGAGAAGAACAAGCAGTGAGCCACACACAGGTCCTAGTGGTATGCAGGCAAAATGTGCCAGAGACTGTACCCCAGAGAAGTCATCATTGCCTGATGTTAAAAAAAAAAAATTAAAACTTGAAACAAAAATGTCAAAAAGGTTCGTTCAATGTATGTCAGGTACGCTCCTCCATTTTCTATACAAAATAAAACAAAAAATTATAAAATAAAGATAATTGAAAAAATTTGAAAAAAGACAAAATGTCAAAAGGGTTCCTTCAGTGTGTCAGTCAGGCAGTTATAATCACTGCCTGATGTTATAAATGGAAGGGGACTCCCCTTCCAAACATTAACACCTCTCCTCCCCCCCCTCCTCACCATCAATAATGGTAAGTAGTAACTTGTACATACTTTAGTACTCAAGATTTGGGTGAATTAGGTATAAAATTTACTTTGAAGTTAATTTTTTGGGGAGTCAGGAACGGTTTAATTCATTTCCCATTATTTCTTATGGGGAAATTCGCTTCGCTCTATGAATTTTTGGGTTACGAACAGTCTCTAGGAACAGATTAAATTCGTAAGCTGAGGTACCACTGTAGCCAAATGTACAACAAAGACATTAGAAAGAATTTTTTCAGTGTCAAGAGTAGTTAACAAATGGAATGCACTAGGAAGTGATGTGGTGGAGGCTGACTCCATACACAGTTTCAAATGTAGATATGATAGAGCTCAGTAGGCTCAAGAATCTGTACACCAGTTGATTGACAGATGAGAGGCGAGACCAAAGAGCCAAAGCACAACTAGGCGAGTACACGCACACACGTAAGGTCAAGCTACTGACCCTTCCTTCTGGATGCAACCCCACAACAGTTGACTTAACTCCTGGATACCTCTCTATTACTAAGTGAACTGACACATTAGGCGAGGGGAAACATGCCCAACTGTACTCCCAAGACCCCATATATATATAATGGTGAATAATAACCACATGGTTGTGTCCAATACTCCAGCCCATTCTCCTGTTTAGATAGTACTATTTGTAACTGCACCATCACATATACATTGACATAATGGACAATTAGAATATTGTGCTCTTCACTTAATGCAGTCCAGAAAAAATAAAGCTAAAACCAAACTTAAATATTCCAAGGACTAGTATAGCACATATATGTACTATATTTGGCCTTAGATAGTGTTTATTAGGCTTAGGATTATTAGGTTAAGTTTTACTAGCAACAAATACAAAATCTTTTCCAGTTTGTCCAAATTCAATCCAAATTCTACTTTCTAATTGTCCATTATGTCAATATACGTATGACGGTCCTCATCACTACGCTAAGTACTATGTAAACAGGAGGATGGGCTGTAACTCTCAGTCTTGTAAGAAAGTGGCAGTGAAGGAACAGTCACCCCAACCAGCCCAGCTCCGTATTTTAATGCCAAAATTTGTAGAGCTCTAAAGTACATTGTCAGTATGCTCACTGATGTTGACATGTAAAAGGTTGGTGAACATATTACTAAAATATGCTGTACATCTATATTCTATTCTGATAAATGTTTAGTTAACATCAGGAATATTATAAGGTGTTAGTTGCATAGTACCGTACTGCAGTGTTTGCTGTAATATGTAATAATATCAACTAGTTCTTGATTGTATTAGATGTGATGCATATATAATGGACAAAGCTAAAGAATACTGTGTATATATATATTAGTGTAATTCCCTTTCGCTTAACCATCAGTTTGATAAAGGGTGCATGGCCAGCAGTTTCTCGTGGACTGTATATCGATTGGTACTGTTGTATATAATACTGTACTGTATATAGCAAAAATATGGGCTCCTTCAAGAGCCTTCAGGAGTACAATTAGATGAAATGCAGTGATATCTAGTAAGTACAATATGAATCATGCTATTCAATTGTTCAATGCATAGATTTTATTAATGAATTGCTGAATAAAGATCATTTATATCCACAAGAATACAATAATGTTTCAAGCATGCCTACTGAAGATCTTTACCTTTTATAAAATTAACCAGCACATGTCTGTCAGGTAGGATAGCACAAAATTTGAAGTGTGTACCCATTTGTCAAAAATTATGTATGGACACCTGTTTGTCAGTTATGATATAATTCCTGACTGGCCATGTTATCTGGTATCAAATCCTGAATGTTACCCCATGTGTCAGGAATAATATACAAACCATATTATAGCCCATCTGTTTGCCAAGTTATATAATTACTTGTGGAGTTTCTTAAAGGAGCACTTTCGTACATCACTTAAGTGAGTCCTGCCAGCATGTCTTCTATTACTTAGTGTAAATGTTAACTAAGGCAGTCCTACTTTTCACATTTATTACCTCAATTTTGTCCCTCAATTACTTCAATATTAAAATACTATTTTGTCCTACATTTTAACCTGCAGAATAAATAATCATTATATTTTTGGGGGAAATGCAGCAGTATCCAGATAACCCAAACAACTCTTGTATCACTAGAAAAACAAACCATACGAATAACAGCATTAAGTAAAAATTCACATTCTCAAGGTATTGCATTAAATTTTTTATTGTCTAGTCTGCTGCACCATTTCTATAATAAAACTAATTCATTGTGTCGGGGGACTGGCGGCCAGTGTGCAGTCATACACGTTAGGCTTATATCAAGGTCAACTTTCCCCCAGGTCGAATTACTGACCCCATCCAGGATGCAACCCCACAACAAGCTGACCAACTCCTGAGTACCTACTCACTGCTAGGCAAACTTACTGCATTAAGTGATAGGAAACGAGACATTATCTGGAGAGAGTATTCAAGGTGAGAAATTGACAATATTCACTGTACAACACCTTGCTCGCTAGTATTTAATGTGCTATATTTCCAGAGCTATAAACATCCATTTTTCCAGGAGCATCCTATCTGAAGAGAGAAGTGCTGTTGTAACGCTGTCCAGTAGCAGCTTAGTCCTATTGTGTGATGTTGCAGTTTTGGGTATTCTATGTGGCTCTCTGGAATTTATTATTTTTATGCATATAAAAATTATTGTAAAAAAATTGTGTTTTATTTATTCTTGCATGTATATCGAGTAGCATGTCCAAGACATTTATAGGTAATGCTATTTACTGTCCTTACCATTTGAGAGCAACCTCTACAACATTGTATAATGCATGTTTTAACAATTTTATTTTGACTTTAATAAAACTAAATAATTTTAGCATCGTTACACTGAAATCAAATTTTGTTCAGATTATGGAGGTTATCTGTAACTAGATATTCTCAGTTCTCTAGATCCCTCTATGTCTGGTGATTGTTTTGTTACATTAAATGTTCACTTGCACCTTTCCTTTCTTCCTTCTTGCCCTATTCACCTCCAACTACCCCCCTTCTTATGCCTCTTCTTATTCTCTTGACCCTTTCTCCTCCTCTTGGCACTTCTCCTTCCCTTCCCACAAGAGCAGCCATCACACAGGTTCAGTGTCCACACGTATCATTCCAAATAAGCAATTGGTTGTTTATTTTTAATAGCTTTAACACAGTGATGAGGTCATTGGTGCTGATAAAAATATAAATGGCATGTAACAAATGAATTTGTTAAAAATTAAATATAAATAAGATTATTTGTTTAAATGCTACCAGTACTGCTAAAATTACCCAAAAATTAATATAAAATAATCATAGTGTAATTTACACAGATAATGAAAGGTGAGAGGCAAGTCACATCAATAAAATTAAATATTCTACTCTCAGGGAGTGAACACCACAATCGTGGTTGGAGATAAGAACCTTGAACCAATCTGACTGTTACGACCCTGGGTTCTTCAGTGGAAACCAGAGGTCAAAATTTAACTAATTAAGCTACGTTAGAGTAGGAAATCGCAACCCGATGTGGCTTTGTATCTTCCCTGCCAGACGTAAGACTATTCTTGTTTCTCAAAGAGCATTTAAAGACTGAGCTGGGGGTTGATTATTAAATAATAACATAGGCTCCAACTATGTTTAATAATACTCTAATCATTTGTAAAGTAAACCTGAGTAAACTTGGTATAGGGCCGCGGTACGATTAGTTGAGCAGTCTGCCGGCAACGAGCCAGCTGGCTGGAGGCTGATCTGGACTGAAGCGGTCTTCTCTGGTTGCTGGCTGTGGTGAAAGGAACTCCCTCCTATCCTTCCTCTTCGTTTCCTTATTTCTGTGTCTTGTTCAAGATAAGTATATTGAGCACCGTATTATGCATGTCTGGCATACTTATGTTCTATGTGTAGAGTAGACTATTTTATGTAATTACCTAAGTGTAATTACCTAAGTGTCAATTCCTGTTACTATTTTGTACGTAGTGATCATATCACCTCTCTTTCTTCTGTCTTCTAGTTTTGGCATATTTAATGCTTCTAACCTCTCCTCGTAGCTCTTGCCCTTCAGTTCTGGGAGCCACTTAGTAGCATGTCTTTGCACCTTTTCCAGTTTGTTGATGTGCTTCTTAAGATATGGGCACCACACAACAGCTGCATATTCTAGCTTTGGCCTAACAAAAGTCATGAACAATTTCTTTAGTATATCGCCATCCATGTATTTAAATGCAATTCTGAAGTTAGAAAGCATTGCATAGGCTCCTTGCACAATATTCTTTATGTGGTCCTCAGGTGATAGTTTTCTATCTAGAACCACTCCTAGATCTCTTTCTTTATCAGAATTCTTTAAAGATTTCTCACATAATATATATATGTGTATATATATAATATATATAATATAATGTGTACAGTAGTAGGTGTTTTTAGGGTTTATATTACTAGTTATTCTAAAGGGGGTCCCATTGGAACCACATGGTCCCCTACCCTAAGCTGACTCTAACTTCAAGTTGTTCAATAGTAGAGCTTTACCCTAGCTTGTGCTCAGTGTAAAACCTTGTATCCTGTTTATGTGGACCAAGGCTTTTAACGTAAGGTAGTGTGGTAAAGTTATTATTATTATTGTTATTGGTGTGAATGTATATGGGGGGCTGTTAAGGGGTTAATAAATAAGTACATGAATTATAGGAGTATCCCTTCTTCCTGTGTGGGAGTGCATTGATCAACCCTTAGACTGACATATATGGTCTAGTAGCAAGGTATTATTACTGTGGATAGTTTATTTTGGGGGCCGGGCCTTTTAGCTCTCCCATATTTGATACTCTGTCTTCTAACTACCCTTACCCCTTAATAGTACCAGT